CTATTTCCAGTTTCCTCAGTATTTATAAAATCAATCTATATATTTGTTATAAAATATAGTGCTTTAACCCCAAGTACATTCAAATACTCAGGATGAGTTTTATATGTAAAACAAGTTCTCTGCCCTTGACTACCATGTCCCATTATGCAGAGAATATAGGAAAAGATAAAATGAGAAGGAACTGATTTAATTTTCAATAAGGTATGGGATAAAATGTGGAAGAACGTATTCTACCTATTTTAGCTGTAATTGAATTATGTGTCTGGCTCTGATTACTATTTGTGTTCAAGTTTCAGAGGAGGGATACATAAAAGAAATATACTTTATTAAGTATATTAACTGACAAGGTATGGCTTGCAGTAAATACTCCTCCAAACATTTCAGAGCATAGTGCTGGATCCAGAGATGCCCATTCACGAATGAAAAGATTTCATTTGGAAGTTTTTCAGGAGACGCAGGAGAAAGGACACAGCAGACTAAACTGCCTCTCCAACTTTCATTGGCTGGATCTTCTTATAAATGGAAATCAACTTATGTGATGCCTGAGTCCAACACTTGGAAGGAGGAGTATCCCAAAGATTTTCATCCCACTGCACAATGTGGATAGAGAGTACTGTATGAAATATAATGGTTTTATGGCTGAAATTACATGTCATGAGGTCCACAAATAGTTTAGTTTAGTTCCAACAAAGTCCTATACTACTGGATATGGTATTTCTGCTTATGTGCTTCTCTCATATAACATCAGTTTAACTATTGCAGGACAAATTAGCCAGCTGAAAAAGTGGTCTCATGTTTTACAAATTAAACATAGGCTTACAGTGAAATGTTAATAGAAGAGCAGAGTTTACAGGCACACTACAATAAGCTTGTCAATTTAAACTAACTGCAGACAGTGGCATAAATATTTCACATTTTTTTCAAATGCATTTTAAACCCAAGTGCACTTATAAGAAAAGTCGTTTTTTTATATAAACAGACACATAGCATTCTAACATGCACATTTTTTAAATGAAATGTGATACTAGCCTCTTTTTAATAATACACCATTCAGTGCTAGCCACCCAAGGGGCCTTCCAGGAATTAAATGCAGAAACTTGGGCTTGTAGATAGCTCCTTTGTGTGACAATACCAAACAGGAAAAGTTTGGTTGCATGTGGATGAGCAGCCAATCTTTACATATTTAGGATTCATACATTTCAGCTTTCCAATAAAAGCATGGAGCTTTCAAATTATTTTTTTTCAAGTTCACCATCTGAATTGTCCTTGGACTCTCATATATGCAAGCTGTTTCTTGTA